TAATTCACTGTCATTCTAGTTCATTTAAATTTAGTGTAATGGAAGAATTACACAGTAGATAAAAATCTTTTCTTTAAAAAAACAGGGAGGGAATTAATTCTTATCTGTTGAAAAACAGTAAATTCCATCTTCTCACCTGAAACCTCACAGATAAATGACTAACATTTCTTTGGTGGATTGAGAGAGAGTAACTGAAAGATGGAAACAAAGCATTTATTTGATCAAGTCGGAGGAGACAAAGGAACTTTTCCAGATCTTTGACACCATTTGAGTACATTCAAAATGATCTTGCCAATGCTAACGGGAGTGGCATGTGTTTCAAAGGACACAAATTATCGTGTCTAAACGGTGGGGAATGGGTTATGAAATGAGTTAAACTAGTCAATGGTTTGGTCAGAATGGTTAAACCAGACAATGGCAGTTTTCTTTATGGATTGTATTTGTCACTTTTTAAGATACAGCATTTGGTGATGATTCCTCATATTGGGTTGTTTTAAATGGCTTATTGTGAGAAAGAAAAATATGCTAAAATCTTTATCTCAGGTGAAAAATACAGATGACACAAACTGATTGATTAAACGAAGCCCCAAATTTTAAATAACTGATAATACTCAGTGTCCACAAAAGTATGGACAGACAGACGTCCTCTATTCTCAATGCTGAGACAGTAAAAGTGTAACTAATACAGTATTTTCATAGGTCATTTTTAAATTATCCTGTTTACTTGCTGAAGGTCTGACCTAGACATTCTTCTTCTGAAGATCCATCCTCATTGGATTAAGTGAATATATATTCACTTAAATTTTGTAATAGCCAAAAAAAGAAAAGAAAGGAACAGATAACCCACATTTTACCAGAGGTGGTTATATAAATTTAGGTTTATCATGCAATTACATGCTGTGTAGCCATTAAGCATAAACTAGATCTATATACTTTAATGTGGAGAGATGGATATGACAGATTATTGAGTGACAGAAAAATCTTTAATATCTGTAGCAAGAATATGAAAATTATATAAATTATCTTTGAAAATAGGATTTGCATGTGAGTGTATGTGTATTTGTGTGTGGTTTGGATTTTTATAATAAATTTACATTTCCCAATAATTCTCTTAGGAATTTGAATTTTTCTTAAAGATTTACATCTGTACATTATTGAAATAATTTCCATCTGGTAGCAGCATGCTTGATTTATAGATAATGTGTCAGAAAGGAAATTTTAAAATGAAATAAAGCTCATTTATGCTAAACTAAGAAAACTAGAATGATAAATTAAAAAACAGATCAGAGAGCAGAATTTTAATGCATTTAATTATCACACAATGTAATAAGAGAAACTGTGCTAAGGAGAATGAATAAAGAGTTGATACAACTCTTGGGTTTTGTAAAACTTGAACAAGTATCTTTCAACATCATTTCTGTTTATCATCTCAAACAATGTAAGAAATATAGAAGTAAAAAGGGGTAGATTAAGGATTATAGAGGTAAGAAAATCAGGTATATATTATTTTTGCATGTTGCATATATTTATTACAAGAAGTTTTAACCACCTTCAGATAAACACCAATTTTAGCACTATACATATTCTTTAAAAACTAAAAATAAAAATTTAGTGTCCATTGAAAGGCATTACTTGTGATTTGAACTGATTATTATAATTTATAATAATGATATTTCAGCTTAAACTCTAGGCATCGAAGAGGTTCAGAAGAGGTTCAGTACTTAAAATTTAAGATTGCAGCAAAGTCTGATCACAATTTTGCCCCAGGAATTGTCTACGTAGGTCAGGTTGGCAGCAGACCAAACCAGAGGCCTACAGACAGTGTCTGTGTTAAGATTTCAGGCTTTAGGGACAAGTGACCAGAGGGCACATTCTAGCTCAGACTCTAATTGTGTTTCAGTTTTCGTCATCCATAAAACGATCTCAGTCTCCTACCTTACAGTCTCACACTCTTCAGTGTCACATGCTGCTTGAATCTAGTTAGTCGATATAAAATTGACAAGGAAGCAAACAGGAAGTGCCAATTAAATATGTAAGGAAATGGTTAATTGCTGTGGTCTCATCGCGCTAGGGGCTAGTCACGGAAAAACGCAGCCCGATCAGATAGTGTAGATATTCTACTGCAGGAGTCTCAGACTCAAGTCGCTACAGGCGGTTTGAATGAGTGACGAGCACTGGATATAAGGTAGCAGAAACGGTGGAGGTTGTAGCAGATCTAATTACACCCAGCTGCTTGGTGTGGTAACCATATTGAAAGTTGTTTTTTTTTTTAATTTTCAGGAGAAGGGAAGAATTAGGAATAATGATTCACAAAATTTCCCAATTTCTAAAATATTATGCTGGTTAAAGAAAGCATACCTGTGGGTTAAATCCAGGCTGTAACTTGCCCATCAGCAACCCCTATTTCCAGGATTAAGTCTGCAAAAACAACCAGAATCAGTGGTATAAAGTCATTTCTCCTTTCGGTGGGTTTGTGGCTTTGAAGATCACATCCTGGAAGTGAAATGAAACAGAAACCTATTTATCACACTTACTCAATGTCTGAAAGGAAAATGAAAGAGAAAATTGTGGACCTGATTTTCTTGAAGCAGCTACAAACGTGGGAGATGATGGTTCAGCTGATTTGCAATACTGAATTTGTAGTCTCGTGTGTACTGTATATTTCAAGGATAATCAGTTATATGTAATTTTTGTGTGTAATCATGGGACTCAGTTAGTAATACCTGTTTACCCTGGCTTAATGCTAGCTCTGTAAATTACAATTCTCTCATCGGACTTTAGGCTTTTTCTTTGCAAAAAAAGGGAGAATGAATTTTTTCAGTTATCAACTAGCTTTTGCATGTAATAAAACTTCCTCTGGCTCTTCACTTTACAAAGGATGTCTTTATAGTACTGTGTGGCCAATAGATTATTTTTGATATGGTTTCTTGCTTGGCCATTACTGGCTTCAAATTGCGTCTAATTCAGACATCTAATAAAATGGATGCATTTCTCTAATTACCTTAAATCAAGGGACCTAACTGATTCTCATTTCTGAAATTTTAAAACTTGCAAATGTTAATCTGTAGTGTTTTATGTAAGTCAAGTAAATATAGATGACATCTGTTCAGTGTACCACAATTTAAGTATAAATATACTTGAATTTATCTTTATGATTATGTACTAATGTCAGCATGCTTTCTAACTTTATAATCAGTATTAAACCGTATAGTATAAACATTAAACACCTGGGCGTGAAATTGAGCGCTTAATAAGCTCTCTTTGTCATTCGAGAGATTAGAAAGCAAACACATTGATGTGAAGGTAAATTTAAGGTTGGGTATATTGAAATAAAAACTTGCTGTTTGACTTCATCGATCTGTTAGCAAAATCAACTGTATTTCATTTCCTAAAGAAATAAACAGTGCATCACCCCGGATGACTATTTCCAATATTTTGAATTAGAGTTGTACAGATTGACTTTTCTTGCTGTTATTATTTGTGGTAAAAGTATTAGTATTAATATTGTTAGGAGGAGTCAACAGTTTTTCTTAAAAGACCAAATAGTAAATATTTTAGGCTTTGCAAGCCAAGGTCTTTGTTGCAACTACTCAGTCATGCTGTTCTAGCTGAAGGATACCATGGAAAATGCAAAAATCAGCCAGGATGCCTGTGATCCAATAAAATGTTATTTACAAAAGCAGGCAGTTGGACCACAGGTGATAATTTGCCAATCCTTATATTAACATCACTTTATGGTTTCTTAGTGTTTTCGCATATTCACAGACTCATTAGCACAGCAGCCTTGCATTAGCTAGATACGGATACTTTTTGCAGAGGAGGAAACAAGAGCTCAGACTGCTGGCACGTACTAAGCAAAATAAATGAGACTCAAGGCTCCAGATGCTTCTGAAATCTACTGTCTTCAGAAAGTAAGCCACTCTGAAAGCTGGTATTTAAATGTTACTTAATTAATGAGAGACTTTCTTTCCACTTAGCTCTGAACTTTGCCGTCCCAGACCTTGATGACAAGATGACAGTACAAGCTAGAGAGAGGCCACAGCTCAGACCCCAGCCAGTGGATCTGACGAATGCTTGGAATTTAAGAGTGCACAGGCTTAGCCACAGTCAGGAAGATGAGCGCAGACGCAGCAGACTGGACGGCTGCTGTTACTTCATTAAGAAGAGTCCGTTCCTCACCCAAATTTTTTTTAAATACTTGTTGAATAATAAATGAATGATATGAAGACATGATTAAATATGTCCTGAAAGAAATGATTAGGAATAATAACAACATAGTTTATGTACACACTAAAGCACTTGGACTCCATTTATAAATAACAATCACAGAACAATTATTGAACACACGCGTTGAGTCAGATATTGTACCAGAGGCTGAGGGAATCCAGGAAAAATTCTTGTGCTCGAAAGGCTAACATATAAAGGGGAGTCTTGGGGATTGTTAAGGGCAATCAAAAAGAAAATGTATGTTAGACATGATTAAAAGTATAAGTTTTTAAAAGGTAAAGGACATGATAGTCTATTTTCAAATCTGTATAATTGTCAAAGTATATTTTATCTTTTTAATCTACCAAGTGATCATCAGCTAAAATGTTGCAGTTTTACTGAGGTGGATATCTTTCAAGAAAAATAGGTAAATTAAAGAGGACTATAGAAAAATAATCAAAGTTTCAACGTGGAATAAAAATGGATGCTAAATACCCAAGCCTTTTGACACCGCAAAGAAGGTTATTCTCATGGTTATGCGTGCATGTCTATTCAGTCAGGTGTTCCGTTGTCACTAAGCAACTGGTTTAGTCATTTATTTACTTTTCGCCAGAGGGTCGGTATGAGGGTCTTTTGTTGATGTTCTTAAAAGTTTTGAACTTAACTCTTGCTTATTTTCTTTTAAAAAGCTTCCTACATTTTTAATAACGTACATTTGAACTGCATCAAATTAACTTTTAAAATAAAGTAAAAGGGACACACCACAGTGTACTTTTTAAATTTGTTCTTTCAAGGGTACGACGTCTGAGGAAAAGTACAAGATGAAGAATAGTCTCTCTGGAACATGAGGAACAGGATGGAAAAGGCCACAGACACGCTAAGGTAAGCCAGGAGTGTTCCGGCAATTCCTGGTTTTCGTATTTAAGCCTTTATTTCAGTGTTACCTTTTCAAGGCAAAGGGCTGTTCATCTCTTCATGTCCTTTGATTATTGAATTGTGATCCTTGAAGTTTGCGATTCAGTTCCTCAGCCAAGAGATGAGTGAAGTAATTGCTACGTCTTGTGGTTGCATTGCTTTTCCTGGAGGTCGTGAATCTTCGTGGTTGTTGGGCGAGAGGAAATGCAGGATCAAGAGAGCCTCAGGCTCTGGTCCTAAACTTCGGTGGCTCAGGTGTGATTTCTGGCTAGGCAGCCGGCCTCCCTACACTTTAGTCATCCACCCAAGAATTCACAGCGTAACGGGAAACCAAGAAGTACTCGAGACATTCCCTGAGATCTGAAAAGGAAACTGAATAAAGTCAGGTTATAAATGTGCTGAAAAGGAGTAAGAAATAAATGGTTAACTCAAAAGTGCTGTACGTGACTAATAAGAATGAACATAATTTTTCTGAGCTGTTTCTTAGCTCACATGTTAGAATTTTTAAAATATATTTTACTTTTCCTCAACAATCGTATTGCGATTAATACTGAAAAAGTTAGAAAAACATGACGATGTGAAATATACCAGAAAGCACGTCTGCTGTTCAGAGAGAGGATTTCTCTCCCTGCTGATACAGTAATAGTCAAAGATTCAAGTGTTTAGTGATTCACTGATTTGTTAAAAAACTAGTGGCGGCATTGCTCCTGTGTGCCACGTGTGATCACGGCTGGCCACGCAGTCTTTTTTCCTCCTTCACTGGTAAACTGAGAATTATGATCACAGCCACCTCATAAATGTGCTGTGCCAATTCAATGTATGAATGCATGCGACACCCTTTAAAAGTACTTGGGGGCAAAGTAATAATACTCAGTAATGGTAGGTATCTTATTATAATTAAAATTAATGTTTGTTAGGAGAGATGAGAGGGTTTAAATAATTACAGGTAAAACATTCTGGGCATTCAAAAGAGAAAGAAATGATTTCTTCCGAAGCGCCCCCTCCTCCTTCTCTAGTTCTGTTGTCTTCACTCTTCCTTCCTTCCTTGTCACCTCGGAGGGTAGCCTGACTGGGAAAGAGCTGGAGTTTTCACTCACACAGACCCTGGTGTCTCAGGTCTGCTCCTGAGAGGATCCTTCAGCAGGCTGCTCCTTCTCCCCAAGACCTGGCTTCTTGTTACAAGATGCGTAAAATGTCTGATGCGTGATGACATTTGTGAATGTTGATTTGTCATAAGAGGCTCGTTTTAATAAAATTTAAGATTGACTTAATCTGTGATGTTAGGAAAAAAGAAGATTTTGAAAATCAAAGAGAATTCCTTAAGGTACTAATAACTCAACTGACTCTATTAAAACATAAAGAATACGTTGAAGAACATAATAAGGATTACTTAAAATGTACTAGTCACGTGTGGTGACCCTGAAAAGTCAGTATTGTAACTCACGATGAGAAAAATACTATGTTGGCTGTGGGTTTGTCATAAATGGCCTTTGTTATGTTGAGATATGTTTCCTGTGGACCCACTTTGGTGAGGGTGGTTATCATGAATGGATGTTAAATTTTATTAAATGCTTTTTCTGAGTCTGTTGAGATGATCATGTGGTTTTTGCCTTTCCTTTTATCAGTGTGCTGTATCATACTGATTGACGTACATATGTTGAACCATCCTGGTGACCCGGGAATGAATCCACTTTGACCATGGTGTATGGGCCTTTTTATGTGTTGTTTCATTTGGTTTGCTAATAGTTTGTTGAGGATTCATGCTGAGCAAAGTAAATGCGTTTTATTTTATTACCACTATGATAAAAGGGGCTAGAAGATCTCGTTTCTAAAGTCCAGTTGAGGCTCTCGCATCAATTTTATGAAACTGAGTGAAATCAATGTAGCTAGTCCCTGATAAGCAGATCTGCTTTGGATATACCGCTTTTATAGAAACAAACACAGAGTAAAATTTAAAAAGTGATTTTTATAGGGTATTTTTAAAAATCTACTTCATCAGTCTCAGTCTGTATTTAATTTATGTACTTAAAAGCAGACTAGATTTTTATTTGTCAAGTTCACTTTTAGAGGAACTAATATTAAGATCTAAGTACTTGTAATAATAAAATAACTTAACAGATTTTGCTTAAATATTTACCATAATTATTTTACGAATTTGTCAATAAGCTGTCTTAATAAATTCTAAGAGATTTTATTCCTCCCTTTTTCTTCCTTTCAAAAAGAAAAAAAGTTAAGTTCACCCATTTCTGCCATTGTAAGAATTATTGTGATTAATTGCTCTCATCACATCTGGCCAGCTCTGATAATATAAGCCATACGGTTTACATACTGAGGTACTTCTTAACAATGAAACTTTCTCTTCTAAGAGTTGAACTGTAGTAAAAAAAAAAATGAGGATAGTAACTAGAGAACACAGCATGATTAAAGACCAAAGTTTAAAAACAAAGTTTAAATTTTCACATGGTATAACTTTACACCATTTATATCAGTTTCAATATTTCATCTTATATCCCAAAGGACTTATGAGTGATTCAACATCACCAAGGGACATGATCTAAAGTTGAACCAGCATTAATCGGAGCATCTTTTTCTCAAGTATAATACATGCCTATTTTTACAAAGATTACCATAAATCATGAATTTTTACTTAATAGAATATGAAATATATTCGATTTTATTTTATGTGTGTATGTGAGTAAAACAGGTATAGATGTGCCACTCTACTTATTTATATATGTTTATACATATCTATATTAATTCCTCTGTGCTAGTTCAGATTCAGTTTTGTACCCTTATTATCTGTCTGTGAATGATTGTCAACATTCACTTATTTAACAGACCTACGACATTGCATTATTCTTGGGAATAACACCAGTTAATTTATAATTCGTAGAAAAAAAGTGATCCACTAAAGATATATTTTACTGATTAGATTACATTTCATGGGTTTGTATGGGTGGCTAGTCACGAAGTTCTAAATTCCTCTTCTAAATTCACATCAAAAGTGGAGTCAGAGTCGTTATTTCAGTTCACTCAATCAAGGCAGCTTTCAAGCCCCACCACCTGCCCCTCCTGCCACACAACCTGGTAAGAAACCCCAGGAGCTCCCTCCTTTAGTGCCTCTGGGAAGTTCACACCACTCAAGACTAGGATCTAACAAGGGGACCCTTCACCCAAACCCCACCCCTTAATCACATTAAAAGCCAAACCAATCTCCTTACCCTCTTCCCTCAAACCACTTTAGGACCTGACATGGGGCCTCTCGTCTCCCCAGAAAACCTCGCTAAGTGAAGAGTAAACCTTTCCATACCCTCTTGAGGCAAGTGTGGCATCGTCAGCCTTGACATCTGAGCAGACCTTAGCTGGATGTCCACCCAGTATTTTCACAGTGTCCACAACAGGTATTATTTAATGAGGTGGTGAGTAAAGAGGGAAGAGAGGGTGCTAAGGAGAAAGGAATTAACCTAGTTTTGGTCATGATGGCTCTGAAGTGGTCTGTGGATATTTAGTGGGTATGTCACGTGCACGGCAGCCACAGGCACGGAGATTGGGGGTGGGTCTGGGCGGGTGGCAGTTTGAGGTCATCACACGGCAATCAAGGGCCTGGAGAGGAAGGGATCACTCGGAGGGATGAGCAGAGTTGGGAAAAGAGAGGGCCAGGCCATTGTTTCTGTTGAATTCTAGTCCACGTCGTTCAGTGCTCATTTTGCTCTTCAGTGTGTCTCCTTGAGACATTCTTCTCAGTACAGCATTCAGCCTTCACTGAGCATCACTTAACTAAGTTCAAGTCACAGAGTTAAACAACTACTTGACCAGTATTTGTTTTTAATGTAAAATAACAATTTTACTTCAGCAGAAAGAAAAGAATGATGCTTCAAAGTATTGGTTATGCCAGGCTAAAATATATCATTATGTCTGTAAGACAAGAAACAAATCATTCTAGCTGGGTAGGGTCTTACGATCAATTGGAAACACCAAACAAGCTAGACCTGTTATTTAGAGCTGTACAGTTATATCTGAGGCTAGTTAAATCTGCTGCTTATTAGTCACATTTAAATGTAAATGTGTATTCAAAAATAGACAGGGATGAATCCTAATACTTAATCTTCTAAGTCAATCTCTAAAAATCCTGTTGTCCACATCATAACCAAGACAACTAAACAAAATTTCAGGCTTGGGTCCCAGGCATCAGTAATTTCTAAATCTCTCCGTGTAATTCCCATGTGTACCCGAGGTTCTGAAACATCACTAGAGGTCTATTGACAGTGGTAGAAATAAGCAACATTTAAGTTTTAATTTTTAAATTTATATACTGTTTCAGAATGGATTTAAAGTATTGCATATGGCTCTGCTGATTGAAATATAACTGCTCTTTTGTAAACAAATTTGTTGATCTCCTGATGCCTCAATATGTCCATTTATATGGTAAAAAAAAAATTGTGGCTTAGAAGGATCAAGCAAAATATGCACCTCGTGACTAATGGAGAAGTAATTTAAAACCAAGTTTTTCTGGTTAGTTTCTATGTTAATTTACCTAGGCAGCATAACTCAATGAGTCATAGATTAGCAATCCAGGATTTTGAATATTTTGTTCATAAAACACCCTGAAAATTTGCCATATTCCATTTTTAATAAGGCATGAATCAGGAAGCATTATACGATGTTTATACCCGTTTCTTATAAGAGCAACTAACTTTATCTCAAGAAAAAGTTCAAGTATTTCTACCAAACAGTCATGAGTATTTTCAAATCTATTATAATGTCTTCCCATATCCATAGCTTTGATTCTTGACAAACAATCATAACTTTAGACAACTTCAGGTATAATTTCTGACCTCTTATACCAACAAGTTTGACATTTTAGTTATTCTTCACTTGGTAGGAGGAAATCCCCAGAGTTTCTTTTTTATGAAACAGCTACAAAATATTTAGTTAAGCTACCATCCAAACATCATCTGGTCAATTTT